ATGCATGCATGCATGCATGCATGTAGGTAGGTAGGTAGGTAGGTAGGTAGGGAGGGAGGGAGGGAGGTAGGTAGGTAGGTAGGTAGGGAGGTAGGTAGGTAGGTAGGTAGGTAGGTAGGTAGGTGTGTATGTGTGTATGTTTGTTTGTCTGCGTGTTGGCCCGTTTATTTGCTTGCTTGGTTTCATGCTTGCATGCTTGCATGCTTGCTTGCTCGCCTGCTCGTTTGCTTATGTGTTTGCTTCGGTGTGCTCAGGTGGGTCCAATCAAATTCTGATGGGATTGAATTTTGCATCGTTAAAGACTGTCAGTTGGCAAAATGACAGCATGTTCCAAAAAATTAGGTTTTAAGTCCATGTTATTGTCGACAAGTGACATATATTCATTTTGGGTAAGTAGAACTGTATGTATGTGTGTATGTATGCATGTTTCTTTACGTATATGCGTGTCTGTGTGGGTATGTGTGTGTGTGTGTATGCATGCATCCATGTACGTACGTACGTAGGTAGGTAGGTAGGTAGGTAGGTAGGTATGTATGTATGTATGCACGTATGCATGTATGCACGTATGTCTGTCTGTCTGTCCGTGCGCCTGTCTATCGATTTGTCTGTGAAAGAGCCAAGCCTAAGTCAGAGGAGCAAAAAAGCCACAGCAGCAGTACCGAATCAGGAGCTATACCCATAGTTGATTTCTGCCAACGGCAGTAGAATAGAAAGCAACGGCAGCCGTGACAACGGAAAAAAAAAATGTATTCGAAAGGAAAAGTCATCTCGTAGCAGCTGCAAGCTCCAGGCGGGCCACTCCGACAAGGTCCACCTCATCATCAGCTCGTGGTTCACTCCTGTGCAAAAGGTGAAATCTTTGAGGCTCTCTTGGGGCGCTGACCTCCTAGGCTTCTGGCAGCTACAAGGGATTCTTAAGGCTAAAGGGCCTAAGCTTTAAGCATGGTGGCTTCCGGCTTCCAGACTTCAGGACACAAGGCTCTGCGCAGCGGTGGAAACACAATAACTAGTGTCTTCCTTGCTTGAGCGTTCTACCCTGCAAGGTCTTGAACCCGAACCCCAGAACCCCAACAGCCATGGCCTAACATCGCCCAAACACTTGCAAGGCTCGGGGCTCCTTCGTGCAGATTCCCGAGAAACTTTGACAAGGGCAGAGATGACAGCCCGTCCATGATCTTTTCGGACCTGGCTACAACTGCAGAACATCTACAGCAGAAACCGTTGGCCCTGACTGGCGCAGGTTCTTGATGGCTTTGTCGGAGTCGCTACAGGAGCATAGAAGCTAGCCGCGCTCGCCTGAGCATGCGCCTCTCTGCAAGTCGAGACCATTGGCGGTCAACCACTTGGCGCCAGAGGTTGAAGCAGACCTGCAAACAGCTCTGATCCGACTTTCAACCTTCGGTTGCAACCACTTGTGATACGATCCAGGTCTGCGTATGCAAGCCTCCTAAGACAAACTGGTGAAGCTGCTATGCAGGTGGTCTGGTCTTCATTGTGTGGAGCACCTCAGCGAGGTTCGCTTCCATTTTGAAGTGCAGGAACACCTCGCGGCAGGGCAAAATCAGCACAGACAGCTACAGCACCGAAGAACAAATTCACTGCTTTCACCGTTCCGTTCGCAAAAAAAAGGAAGCCAGGCAATCCGCCTGCATGCGATCGGTACGTCGGCGTGCCCGTACCTTCGCTCGCCAGTCGAAAACCGCTGCCTCTGTCAGACAGCTTCGGGAAGCGACATTGTGTGTTGTCCAGTCCCCCTGGGGCTCTGGGGAGTCTGCTCGCTAGGCTCTATCACAAACAGTAGGATCCGGTATGGCACCCCAGAGCTCCTGAAATTCGGCAGAAGGAGTGCGACCACGGGGCGAACACGAGCAGCACGAAGGGAAAGAGACTCGCGTAGAGCCAATTACCACGATAACAACGTACGATGCACCATCATGACTGATGAACTGCGGTACATTGCACTTCGGTGCCTGAAGAAGCTTGCGCTGCACGTCCCAGTCGAGCAGCTTCTCTGCAATCCTCAGCTTGCTGTCGCGCAGACCATCCGAAATAGGATTGGCGCTGAGATTCATTCAGCCGGCAACGAGCCAGTGTCTCTACAAAACGAAATGAATCCGAGCGACGACGTGCCGCGAGCTTTTCCCCTAGCAAAGGCCAGCAGTGCCCGGCGCCCATCCAGAAGGCTTGCCTCTGGCTGCGTGTCCATGAGCACTTGCTTCACGTTCTCCCAGGCCGTGGTTCCCATCTCAGCAAAAAGGCGGATTTTTCACATCTTGCTCCCACCCCCCCAAAGCAATGCATCCCACAGCCTGGCGCTGAGCAGATACCTCTGTCCGGAGATCGCTGAGCTCCTGGGACGGCCATATGGAAAAACGAATGATGCACTTTCGGGCTGGCTTGGTGGCTTGCCCCCTAGGACCTGAACACGAACGAAGCCCCACTTTCTGAGGGCTCACACGACCATCATGTATGCAACAATGTGAGAAATTCAGTTGTTCGGAACACATTGATAGCTCTTTGCCTGTGTCCCGGAGTCAAATTCGGAGAGTCGAATTGGATTACATTGAATTCGAGATGTGTTCCAACCGAAAATAGTTCGAGTTGTGGCCGACGCGAACTCAATTTCAGTGCTCTCGCACCCACATTGAAGTTGAGTCGCCGATCGGCGCAGAAAAGGGCGGGGTAAGCACGGCGATAGTGGGGAAGACTCCCAGTCGAATTGAATTCGAGACGAGGCCCTCAAGCTCATCCTTTTCAACAACCCTTAACCCTAAACCCTAAACCCCTAAACCCCTAAAGCCCTAAACCCCGAGCCCTAAAGCCTAAACCTTAAACCTTGAACCCTAAGCCCTAAGCCCTAAACCCTAAACCCCTAAAACCCTAAAACCCAAAACCCCCCGTCCTGCTCAGCCTCAGAGAGCTGCTTCCGCAGCTGGCAGCGCAACTCCGGCGGCTCAGGAACCTACCAGGTGCTGCTTAAAGGGCTTAGGGTTTAGGGTTTAAGGTTTAGGCTTTAGGGCCTAAGGTTTAAAATTTAAGGTTTAGGCTTTAGGCTTTAGGGTTTAGGGTTTGGGCTTTAGGGCTTGGGTTTAGGGCTTAGCGTACCAAGGTTGTTTTTTGAACCCTTTTGCCCTTCTTTCACCGAGAGTGGGCGGTTTAGGTTTGGGCTTCAGGGACTTGTGGGTGCGCAGTACTTGCACGTCGTCGAGGCTGAACATCGGGAGCTCTTACGTTTTGCCATGTTGGTGCGAGCTTACGTCCTGATACTGGCACATGCACGGAGAGCGACAAAGAAATAGAGAAAGACTCAGCTCAAGATCAGATGGCAAATGCAAACGCACGCAGTGGCCGACGGGACCATAAAACCATTACAATTAGTGCATGGACAACGGTCCAAAAAACTGCATGGTTGTCGAGACACGGAATGCACGTTGCACTCGGATGAGTAGTGATAAACAAACCCCTTATTGTCCTTCCAACTTCCCTCGTGGGTGACTTTGCCAAAAAGCCTCTGTATTGATGACCTCAACGGAGTAGAGACGAAGGGGGTACATGTTGGTCGCAAAGGGTGGAAGCCATTGGCAATCCTCTGACACCCTGATTTCGGAAGCTTCGGCTCTCCTGTGGCTCAATTTTTGCTTGAAGCCTCAGGAGAAAAATCATGCTTGCAGCGAGAACGGAACTTTATTAGTATTCATCGCGGGGACGTCCGCGCGATTCCAAGAAACAAAGGGCGGGAGGCGCCTCCAATCTGCTCATGCGGCTCCTCGTGGCAGCACAAGGGCTGCTCCCATAGGCCAGGAGGTCCGTGAGGCAGAAATTCTCCCCCTCCTCGCAAGTCAAAGTCTGAGAACTCAGCTCTGTGAACGAGGACCTTCTGGCTTCAACCTCCACACAGAGCCGAAGCTGCATGCTATGAGCAGGATCAGCCAGGGCTCAATGTGCCGAAGGTTGCGGCCACCCTGATGGGCTTCGTCGTCGATTTTGTGGAGCCTGGTCAGCTCTGTGGCCTCGAGAGTCCATCAAGAAAGCTTTTGCGATTAGGGTCTAGGGTTCGGGCGTTTTGGATGTTTTGGGGTTTGGGCAAGGGTAACCGTGGACATGGCCTGCTGAGTCAGCTCGTTGCTGAGCAGCAAGACCTCGGCATTTCAGACAGGTCGGACAGCTGACAGCCCAGTGCGAAGGTCCCAAGCTACTACGGTTGGACATACGACCTACTTTAAGTGAAGAGGCAAAAGAAGGTGACACTCACAACTCCTCATTGCCTCTGCCTGCCTGGATGCAAGAGTTGCGTGGGCCTTGAAGCCTGCAAGCCCCTAGAACCTTCATGTCAAAATGCGTTGCCATCAGTTTTCATTCCAGGTTCCCCTGCCTCCCGCTCCATCTCGTCGATGAGTTGTGATGCAGCGTCCCGTCGTATCTTCAGCTCTTTGAACCTGTTCGGGTCCGCTCACAACCACGTCTGGAGGCAGAAAGACACGAAGCCCGGGTTAAACCAAGCGTACAGGTTATCAAGCATTGACAGCAAGATCGGGCACATGTCCATCTGCGGAGAAACTTCAATTGCCCTTCTGCCCTAACAGTGTTTACTGGCGATTTGTGATACCCTCCATGCCATTAAACCCAAAGCCCGGACGATCCGTGATGTTGAAACACCAACCCCTAGGCCCTGAAGCGACCCCTCCCAGGCCTCCGCTTCATTAGGAACCGCGCCGAAGGTTCTCGGCGGCAGTCCAACCCCAGGCGCTGCATCACGCTGCCTGGGGTCCCCAACAGCTCCGGGCCGAGGGCCAGGGTCTCACGGGTTCTACAGTGCCCTGTACAGCGTGTTAGCCAGTCCGGTCTCGCTTTGTGGTCTGAGATCCTTAGGGCGCTCTTTAACAACAACGTGCATATCTACGATTGTACAGACATAATTCCACTGACTGATGCAAAAGTTAAAAGCAGTGCACTCTTGGGAACAATCGGACAAGATGGCCTCAAGCTGGTGTAAGAAGTCTTACCAGGCGGGTTACCATCAGGTTTACCATGCAAAGTCCACCTCATCGAAAATGCTACCACCCACCCCTCCACCCTAGGGGCTGTTGGTGTGCTCGTTGAGAAATGGAATGCTGAAGATTTGGACGCTTGGGGGCAAGTGGCTGGCTGGTTGAAAATGCGGAAACGAGGTCTGGAAAGTTGGAAAAAGTTGCGGAAAATTGGTGGTATGCTCATTGAGAAAATCTTTGGTGATTCGGGGGTGTCGGGGATGAAGTGGCATACTGTTGGAGAAAGTAGTTGGGAAAAATGAGTGGAAAATGGTGTTTTGTTGTGTAGGGGGGTCTATGTGCGGTGCCATACTCCTAAATAGGCAAGCTATACTCTAACTGGATTCCACATACTTTACCTCAAGGGCATCAGGATCACAATATCCCGGCCTTCTGGCTACCCTAAACCCTAAACCCTAAACCCTACAAATCTTAAACCCTAATATCTTAGGGGTCACTGACACGAAAAGAAGAAAGCTGATGGCAGATCGGAGATGCGGAGCACTGAGGTGTTGCCGAGGCCACCTTGGCATGGCAGAAGAACTTAGGGTTTATATCAGGTTCTTAGGGCTTACGGCTTCAGGTCTATGGCTCTTAGGGGTTTAGGGTTTCGGGGTGAGAGCTTAGGGTTTAGGGCCCAGGGTTTAGGGCTTAAGGTTTTTGGGGCTGGTTTTCGGGGGTTTAAAAGTCGGAAACTTGAGAGCCTCCACAGAGAAGCCCATCCAGCTCCTCCTTGCCCTGCGGCTCCTGCTCTTCGGCCGCCTCACCTGACAAGAGCTCTCATGCTGGAGCCGAACCTAAACCGTAAATTCATGGCTTAGGGTTTAGGGGTTTAGGGTTTAGGGGTTTAGGGTTTGGGGATCCACTCGCTGGTAGCAAGAGCCGTTGCCCAGGCCTGGCGTCCGTGAGCAGGCCACTCTCAGCAGCTGGCCAAGCCGATCGGCTCGAGCCTGGCGCTGCCCCGAGAGATACACGTCTGTTTAACAAGTACATGTATGTGTACATATTCATACACACACACACACATGTGCTTACATTTAAAAAGTTTGCATACGTACATACGTACATACATACATACATACATAGATACATAGATACATAAATACAGAAATACATAGAGACAGACAGACAGACAGACAGACAGACAGACAGACAAAAAACAAAACTATCTGCATTGTAAATGATAATGTATGACGAGGATCCTATCTATCTTAATCGTTTACCTGTGTGGGCGTCTATCTACCTATCTATCTGTCTATTTATGTAGCCAGACAGATAGATATGCGCATGCGTGCAAGCGCCTCGATGTATAGGATTTTGCACTATGCTATGTGCAGTTATGAAGGGTCGCGTCTTCTTTTGCCAAGCTGACAGGTCTCACTCAAACTTTGGTCGAAGAGAAACTGTGGCTTCGGTAATGGCTGAATACGAATGTCATGGTGACTAGCTCGTTTTCCTGCGTGCTGCGCTTGGCCGGGGTGTCGTTCTTGCCGTTCTGTCTGCTAATATACTTACATATCCAACATCACTAGTGCTCCTAGTTCTTGCGCGTACTAGAAATACTGCATCTAATGTTACGATTGACGTCAGCACTCAAGTGCGGACAGGGCGAAAGACAGAGAGAGAGGGAGAGAGCAACCAAAACAACAAAAAGAGAGAGAGAGAGAGAGAGAGAGAGAGAGAGTCCGAGGCGGAGCTAAACAAAAGACGGAGGGGAACGTATCACCAGCGCTGGGCTGAGGTCACATCTTGGCTTTTGGTGCCCCTCGCATCACAATAACACAATAAGAGTCACACTGTAGGGTAGGGCGCAGGCGACGAGGGGGCAGAGAGAGAGGTTGATGGCACTACCTTCTTAAGAATACCGCTGCTAGGCTTCTGGGACAGCATGTAACAGCACGTGTGTCAAAGCAGTTGCCATCCTGGTTGTTATTGTGCTTCCTGCAGCTGCTACTGTGCTTTTAGTGGTGTTAGTTCGATTGGCATGGCCACTTTGATATTGCCACAGTTCTGGCAGAAACACGCGATCCCTGGACTGAACCTGCCACTCCTTGGCAGATCCCTGGTGGTCTCCCGATAGTTACATGTGAAAGCCTACAAGACTCCCTTTTTTGGCGGAGAGTTGCCCCAGCCTTCTGAGAAGCAGTGTCCTCCTTCAGCCGCGTGGAGGCGTAGGAGGGCAAGGGCTTGGTGTCGATGCGCTGCCTGGTGCTGTACTGTAAAGACAAGGCTGCAAAAGCGTGTGGCGACATTGAGCAGGAACACCAAAACTGTGGCTGCTTCTGGCACGTAAGGGCCTAGAGCGGCTTGTGAGCCAAGCACATTAGGCACGTCATAGTACCAAACCTTCCTAGTGCACGCTTGCGCTACTCTGGGCTAGCCAATGCCGAGCTTGCCTGTCTCACCTGCCCGGTGCTCTGTGCACACCTACATCTGTCACATCTACATTCCGTGCCATGAGATTCTCTCCTCACTGGGCCCTGCACGTCCAAATTTCACCGGAAATTGGCACTTCTTCCCAGTCCTCGTGCACCTCCTCTGCCTTGGAAGCTGCGCACCCATCGGGCTTTGTCCAGCATACAAACGAAACTCATTTCAAGATGCATCGCCGTCCTCTGGAGGCGCCATCTCGTCGACAAAAGACATGCCGATGGCCGTGGTGCTACACCCTAACTTACACTTCCTAGTGTGCAAAAGTCATGACGCATGCTGTCCGGTTCGTTGGTCGATAATAGTACAACAACCCGTTTAGCCTCCATGTTTTGCTGCCAACTCGTCTTGGATAACCTAGACTCTAAACTTCCCAAACATCCTCCGTTCCGGCTCTTTCTGGGTTGTTTCTCGAGGTCAGTCGGCCGCAGCTGGCTCACCCGGCCACTCCTGTTCCGGCTGATGTATGTCAGGGGACTTGGGCATTGAAGTGTCACATGCCACAAGGCCAGAGCAACCACCGCAGATCCTATGGAAGTGCATATACATGCATACACACACGCTCGTTCATGCATTCTAAAATCATATGCGATGCACTGTGTACAGCTAGACATACATCCCTAACAGGCCAGTTACCTCTGTAGGTTACACAGTGGTTTTCGGAAGCCAGGATTATGGGGAATGGGCTCTTAACCCAGGCCTGCCAGCAAAAGTCATGACGGTGCAGATATGCCTGTGAAAATGACTTTCAGGAACCATGCAGTCTTCAAACTTAGGGCGTCGCATGTTTTCTCTACATGGCTCCTGAATGTTATTCTCAGAGAGAGGCATATGTATGCACTGTCTAGACTTTTGCGAGCAGGCATGGCAGGCGTTGGTTCAGAGCCCATTCTTTCAGACAACCACCACCCACCTCCCACCCTGCACCCCCCTTTCCAAAGCAAAGTCCTGCCCTTGAAGCGCCTAGAATCCAATGCAGAAGCCTCCTAGCCGGAAAACCTGCAGAAAAGCGCGCTGTAACTTTGTGTGCGCCCTACCACATTGTATGCTGTATACGCACACACTGAAAGGCATCCACAGATACATACCCAAATGTGCCTGCATTCGCGAATCGTTCCATGCGGGCGTGTTGAAGTCATGCTTTTTGGCATGTTCGGGTGTGTTGCCGCACATATGCAAATACATCCATCCATCCATCCATCCATCCATCCATCCATGCATGCATGCATGCATGCATGCATGCATGCATGCATGCATGCATATATGCATGAATGCGTGTACGCCGCCTACATGCACGTATGCCCTCTGCATACAAGCGCGCATCCCTGCATGGTGACTGCGGAAAGTGAGAATATAGCGCCTTCGAGGTGACAGGACACCAAACGACCATAAAACCCAAAACATCCTATCCCTCAAACCTCCCCTAAACCTGAAGGACCTAGACCCCGACCTCAATCGCCACTGCCCCTCCTCCGCTGAAAGAGAATGTGGGCGTTTCAGTGGACCGAGGCCATGGCAGGGCTGAACATGCTTTGTCCCTGCTGTGGTTAGAGGGGTTTGGGCTTCAAGGTTTCGGGGTTCAGGGCTTCGGAGTTGGGTTCGGGGGTTGAGGGCTTTCAGTTTGTGGGGTCGAGGGCTCAGGGGTTGGGGCTCCGGTTCAGGCTCCGAAGAGTCTGCCTGCCGTATTCTACGCATCTTGGCAGGTTGGCCTGGGCCGTTGCATGCTAGGCTGGGCGTCATGGTCGAAACACTGAGTGAGGCGAGGAAGACCGCGATTCATCGAAGATAATGCAGCAGGCCAAAAGAACGCCGGCAATGACCTCCTGTGGTGCAACTTGCAAAGCCTCCTCGTCGCTCTTGCAGAGGAGGGCATCGAGACCTGAGGACCGCTTGCAAAGGAGGCTCCGGTGGGTTCAGGTCTGCGACTCGAGAGGATGGGCGATGCTGGGCGACCTGCAGCCTTTCTCCACCACTGCATCAAATGGCCTCCAGTCCTTTAGAAGCGGCGTTTCTGCATCCAGTCGGGCAACATCCGCCACCTGAGAGCCCAGGCAGCCAAGTGCAAATCAGAGAGAAAAGGAAGTTCCCGGCCTTCCAGTGCAAGCCTTTCTGGTGACCGTGCCTTTCGCACATCAAAGATGTGCAGCTGGCGCCTCGTGATTGCTGTGGAGCTGCCATGAGCTTCCCACATGCAACCGTGCCTTCTCTCAAGAACCGTCACAACTGGGCAGTGGGCTGGAGTCGAGGCTCAGGATTTGCAGCCCGGGCACCTCACAATGGCCAAGGAAAAGCCAACTGAACGTTTGGGACTCTTGCTTCCAAGGACAAAACCTGGCGCTGAAGGCGAACTGGAAGTAGCGACCTCCCGTCGAAGAAGTTGCGGCAAAGGAACCAAACTACTTTCCTCCGAGTCCTGAGCATTCCACCACCCGGATGGAGAATCCTTCCAGCCTGCAATGGCAAGCATCTGCCGGACCCCTAAACCCTAAACCCTAAACTCAGCTGCATGTCACGCCGACGTCGTGTCTGCTGCAGCATGCACTACTGCTTCCGCTAGCGCATTCATCTTCCAGCCTGCCTGAGGCAAATGGGGCTTCAAGAGCTCAACCAGAAAGTCTAGGTCTCGACCTCGGTAAGGGATTCAGGCCGAGCCTCTTTCCGAAAGCCGCAACGCAATGGACATAGCTGTATGGGTGAGGGCATGCACTATTCGCAAGCCGGCTTTGCAGGCAGCTGTACATAGTTGCACTGTTACACTGACAAGAACACGGACCTGCGCACATATGAGCATGGGCTTACACGTGAATATACACCAAGTACATTCAAGCCCATGCAAATGCACAGGTTGACGTGAGTCTAGATGCATATGCATTTTCACATACATATCCATGCATGCACACGTGCATCCACCCATAGGTATGTTCATTCATTCGTTCGCTCATTGATTAATTTGCTTACGTACTTGTTTATTCGATCATGCTTCTTTCCTTCCATCCTTCCCACCTTCCTTCCTTCCTTCCCCCCTTCCTTCCTTCCTTCCATCCTTCCCCCCTTCCTTCCTTCTTTCCCGCCTTCCTTCCTTCCCCCCTTCCTTCCTTCCTTCCTTCCTTGCTTCCTTCCGATTCCTTCCTTTCCATTTCATCCTTCTTAACTCCATTTCACATTCCATTCCGTTCAATTCCGTTCAATTATTCACGTATTCATTCATTCATTCATTCATTCATTCATTAACTAATTCATTCATTCATTCATTCGTTCGTTCACTCACTCTTTCATTCATTCATTCATTCGTTCACTTCATTTCATTTCGTCTCGTTTCACTTCACTTGGCTGCACTTCACTTCATTCATTCATGCACTTACTCATAGTTACATACATACGTACGTACCTCCAGGTATGCATGCATAGATGTGCGAATACATACACATATAGATCATATACATGTAAACAAAGATGCGCTCTCCACATGAGTCTGGGCCCATGAATATGCACATATATGCACATATAATCATGCGATATGAACACACATGGAACGACTTACAAAGGTTTACCTATCTACCCGAATCTACCCATCCATGTCCGTAGGGGCGGCTCGTGATTGTCAAGTCTCTGTTGCTGCGAGTGCCGTTGCTTCAATTCGGCATTGCTGCAGGGTTCGAAGATGTAGCTCCTGTCTTCTGGTGATTGTTGTTTCTTTTACTGAGTTTCGAGGTGCAGCCGCTGCATTGCACAGAACCCCATAAATATGAAAGTTCGCCGAGGAATGCATGCAACCTCTGCTGCCCAGTCAAGGCCACCAAACCCTGACCGCAACAGAGAAGCAGTGCTGCAATCGAGGCTTTGCGATGAGAGATCTCTTGAAGCCCAACTCCAAACGAGAATGCAACTCCCACAAGACCTTCACTTCCTGCTGGGCCCACCGCAGATCCACTCGAATTCCAGCGCAGCCGGGTCCTCTGCGGAGCCGCTGGGTGCCGAGGCGAAGTGTGCCTTGCTTCGGGGCCGGCATGCCGAAAGGAGCCTAGAACAAGCGGACCTTTTGGTATCGCATCAGCGCATGCTATCTATCGTCATGCTTCATATTGCACTTGGACACATCTGGCGTCGTTTGTTGATGCCATCTTACACGGTATATTGCTATCTCACAAACAGTATAGGTGGTTGTGATGTTGTAATAGTACAGCTTAATGCACTATCGTATCATGGCGAAGGACATAGTACAAGATGACTCGGTGACACATAACCAGTCATGACATACGTTCCTCGCACATGCCTCCTGTATAGCTTGAGGCTCGTTGGCTTTGCCACATACATGATCAAGCATCTGTCTTTGTGTTTGCACAGTAATCTCTGTATTGACGTGAGAAGGAGAGCTCCTACTAGTAACCTTGAAGTAGCCTTACGGTCCCCTTTACAGAACCCTGTATACATTAATAATCCTTATAGTAAACCCGGGCAACGAAAAGCCTCCCAGTACTCCTGGCAGCCGTAGTCGGGCGGCTCGCCTTGGAGCTTCGACCCAAACAAAGAAGCACCAGTGTACACAGTCCGCGGGCGTGGTCGTTCACACTCATATGGATGTGCGTGTGTGTGCACAAACAGAGATGTATATACATGCATACATATATGTATATATATAGATAGTTATATATATATATATACACACACACGGTGAGAATGAAGAGAGTTACACACACACACACATACAGAGGTGAAAGTACATAGACGGCTGCGCGTTTCAACATATAGCCTTGCGATCTCTTGCGTCCGTGCATGTGCACAAAGGCTTGGACCAGTCAGACCCTACAGAACAAGCAGTTCGCGCAGCGTGCCACGAAGCGGCACTGGTAATCGTCCCAGAGATCCTCAGCCATGAGCTGGCCTGGAAAAGCTGTGCGATAACACCACAATTGGTTTACGTAGGCTGCAAGATATTCAGCTATAACAAGCCTTTGGAAGACATGTTCCGGTATTTCTGGAGAGTTTCCGCCTGCCTCTGTCGCGGTCGCCCCCATATCGGTAGCCATGAGCGGAAGCGGAGTGCGAGGGCTCAGATCTGCCAAGATACTAGTAGTAGTAGTAGTAGTAGTAGAATCTCCTAGTAAATTCGACATGGTCTCAGCAAGTCTCGCAATACTCTGGTGGGCAGCTAATGGCTGCAGAGCACCATGCTTTGCACTGCTGCTGCAAGTCCTTCTGCCAGACGAAAGGGCCGCTGCGATTTTCCATGTCTGCCGGAAAACCCTGCAAAATGGGGGAGAACCTTCCGTTCCTGCCTCCACCTCCTCGCGGAGTGTTCGCTTCCCGCGGCTCTCCATGATGAACTCTTCGACGGCACCACTGTGCACAGCAGGCGGGTTTGAAGGTGTTTACATCTGCACGAGGGTCCAAACAAGCAACTTGCGTTCGCGAGGGAGCAGATATTGAACGAAGTCTTGTTTAGTCTCGTCAGGTTAAGGCTGTCTCATGCAAATGCCCCAGCTTCGACTACTTCCTGCATGCAAGGCCCTTGCAGCTGCAAGTCACTCGCCGGACTGAACGAGGAAGCTTCACGACCACGACTACACAGACTAGACGCTGAGCTTCCGCCTGAGCCGTCGGACATGTGCCGCGAGCTCCGATGGCCGGGCTTCGCGCGGCACGAAGAGCCTGCAAGCAAAGTCCCGAAATGGTATGTATATTATATATATATATATATCTCTCTCTCTCTCTCTCTTTATTTTCAGCATCACATAGTCGAGGCTCGGGCAGACGCAGGTCGTACTCGGCAGCATCTACGCCTGAGCTGGGCGCAAAAGCTCGCTTGACCTTCTCAGACGGCCCTCCATTCGCCTGGCTTGGCCAGGCAGCAGAGGAAGCGGCGCCTCTCAAGATACAAGCCTATACTGCAAGGCGCTACACAAGAACTTCATGTCCGAAGCCCCTCCTGTGGTCTGCATAGTCCACGAGACTCTTCAGCACGCGTTTCATGGAAGAGCCTCAGGGCTTCCCAGGGCTGCTCGGGCACGTGGTTCCATCTGGAGACTCAAACTCGGGGAAGCGCCAATCTGCTGGATGAACTTTGAGCGTTTCTGCAGAAAGCCTGAGTCACTACGGGTCGAGCGGCGACGACGACAGCCCGGCAGCACCAGCAGCAAGTAGCAGCAGGAGCATCATCACGACTAGCATCCATGATGGTGGTAATAATATTAATAATAATGATGATGATGGTGGGATTGAAGCAAGCAATGTGGAGCACATCAATACTTCTGACGATGCTACTCCTGCTTGTGATGCTGGCAGAGGTAGTCAATGTTACTCGCGTTTAACTACCTGACTCAGACACGACAGGTGCTCGGTACTTGTAAAGGACATATGCACCAGCCTAGACTTTGCCGGTGGCTCGCGCGCACGAAGGGTCCAGAAGAAACAGCAGCAAGAATACTAGCAGAAATCGACCATGCTCGGGGGTGTCAAGATAAGAAAGTTTCTGAGGGTAACCAAAAGGAGTCATAGCGATGATGCCAATGAGAGTCCACTCCATGATGTTATCGGGTTATCTGTGTTGGTCTGTACAGTACATGGCTGTACATGCAGACTCATGCACAATCATCATACATAACCATCATACATCATCATACTTGCATACATGAATACCTACATGGATACATGAACGTAAATGCATGCGTACTTCCATACATACACAAATTCACACATGCGATAAAACACACTTATATATATATATCCATCCCTACACACCTACTGGATTGAGAACTTCTTGCCAGCATAGAGACCATTCCTACATATTCCTACTGCACTCTGCTACCCATAGGAGGCGCCAGCTGAGTCGTCGCATCACTGCTCTGAACTGGGTGTGGGATGCCAACACTAAATGCTGCAGCTGGGCTTGCTGCCAACATCTGGGTTCTCTTCAGAAAGCTCCTTCTGCACAGCACGGCCCAGCGACGAGGTGATCTGGGGAGTCTCTCCGCTTCAAGCGACCGGTGCGGAAGTCTAGAAAAGGCTTGGCGGTTCCCGGCTTTCCTACAATGAGGGGCTCTTGAACCTTGTACAGCCTTCCACATTGCGATGGACCAGCATGTAACAGCCAAAGCATTCGGGTTCAGCGTGATACGACAGCTCGTGACCCTAAATCTTCAACCCGTTAGCACGGGCGCTGTCATGCAAGCCCGTAGCACTGGAACTGACTCAGAGACTGGAGCAATCCTGGATGACTTCGGGGAGGTTGGCCTTCCGTGGAATCGACAGCAAGAGGATGTGGGACTGTCTTAGGGCTCAAGGATACGGGCAGGCTGACTGCTCTGCAAACTTGCTACACCTCGGCTGCACAGGGCTAGGGCGGACGGCCTTTGGGATTTTTAGCAAACACGAGAAAAAGAGAACCGATGAGCCGAAGGATATCACACCACACTGCCACACAGCAAGGAAGCGGCATGATGAGCTTTTTAAACCTTCAACCCTAAACTCAAGGCTTAGGCCGGGCGGCGCTTAGGCCCCTCGACCTCGATGGCGCAGAACGATCCAGTACGCGCCACGCCCTGCCCCTGCCCTAGCGCTGCCGCTGCCCCTGCCCCTGCCCCTGCCCCCTCTGCCCTCTGCCCTCTGCCCCGCCTGTCTGATGCAAAAAGAAAACCATGGATGAGTTCAGCGCTAAACCCTAAAATTTGGGGGAAAAGGTTTGGGTGGATTGGCCGCCTCAGACGGCGTGGGGTGGGAGAGAAGAAAGAAAGAAAGAGCCCTCCACAATCGGGCTCAAGCGGCGAATCGCCATGCTACGACGCACTCGAAATTGCATTATCGCAAGATATTTAGCTTATGCGCCACTCTACGTCAAGCCCTAAACCCTCAACCCTAACCCTAAACCCTCAACCCTAAACCTCAACCCTCAACCCTGAAGCGCTGATATCACAGGCCTCGTCCCAGCGCTGGGCAAGGTAGTCTGCCAGCTGCAAGCCACACCTCAAAGGTTCGACGCTAGCGTCCATAGCAGATGGTCTAATCTAGTATGCTATAGTCGATTATAGTATAGTAGAGTAGAGTATAGTATAGTATAGTATGGTATGGTGTAGTATAGTATAGTATAGTCTAGTCTAGTCTAGTCTAGTCTAGTATAGTATAGTATAGTACAGCATAGCATAGTATAGTATAGTAGAGTATAGTATAGTATAGATACAATGTAGTATAATATAATATTATGTTATATGAAATAATATAATATAACACAATATAATATGATATAATATAATATGACATGATATAATAGAAAAGGATAGAATAGAATAGAGTAGAACAGAATAGGCTGGAATGGAATAGAATACAATAGAAAACAATATAGTATAATATAGTATAATACAATATAATATAATACAATATAATATAACATAAGAGTATAATATATTATGTTAGATTATACTATACCATGTTGCATTGTATTATATTCTATTATGTAATTTTTTACATTATATTGTGTTATATTATATAACCCTGAATCTTCCTAGCGGTGATGGTGTGATGGTGTATGATGCTAACATATGCTGACCCACACCACGGCGATCTTCGCTAGTCACTAAACTCAATAAACATCATGGCAACGGTTTGCAGCGTGATGGTGAACTTCGAAGGTGATCTCCTGGCCCTCCCTGAGTAAGCCGCCAAAGTGTACAGGACGAGGCTGCAAAGGACAGTCGCATCCGACCTCTGACTGGCAATGGTGCTGGCTTCCGCGGCAGAGGATGCGCTTAGGCGCCCACCGCCAACGTTGGCAACTTTGGCCACTCCCTGCAGGCGACACGAGCAGCCAATCCAGGAAACGCAGAAAAGATGCATGCTCTTGGTGCAGGGACCCTTGACAGGCCCGCGAGCTGCTCCAAGGATTGCGCCACGCGCACAGGAGCCTGCAACGGCTTCACAGAACGGACGAGGCCAACTCCAAAAAGAGATCCCACTCCTTGGCATCGAGAAGGCACTGAAACGCCAGCAGGGCCTCAAAAGGCTACAACATTACGTTCCTTTGAGCTCACATGACAACCAGGCATGGGAAGATGGCCGCGGGAACACCAACGCTGCGCGGCTGATTATGTCAGGATCAGGGAAAGCTGTTGATCCCGTTCTTGTTGGTACACGAACACCTGTCCCCCGACATGCCAAGCCCGGAAGCAGCAGAAAAAATATGCTTGAATCAAGGCAATGCCTGGGCTTCTAGAAGCAATATATTGCCAGGTCTAGCTTTGGTCAGGTGGTCCCTGCTGCCTGCATCAGTCGGCAGCGATGCACTGCTTCCACGAGCTGAGCCCTCTGCATTCACCAATGCGTCTGCACCTCCGCTTGTGCAGCGGGCACAAGCTGTCAGTCCCATCAATCATGGCGATGATAATGACCAGTGACGGCTACAATGACCAAGACCGTGATGGTGAAAACGCTGATGCAGAGGACGAGGCTGGCCGGTATCACGATGAGGACGATAACTTAGCGATGAGGAGAGGAAGAGGGAGGTCAATTCATGTCAATTGAGTCGTCGCTCGCAAACCATGCACTCAGAGCTGGAGGGTGAGCATCTACCACTCATGTGGGTCTCACCTTGCCAAACTCATGCTGCAGATCACCACATTAATTCGGTCCTTTTCGAAAAACTAACATCATGGACGGGAGTCTGCAAGGGATGTGGGCATTGCACCTGCGCCGAGGCAAGATCCGCTTGCGAGGAAGTCGTTGCAGGCAGTTCCAAAGGCGGCCTCGGGATGAACTTGACTGTAGAATGTCACTTGTGTTTCGCCGAATCAGAACGTTCAGCATGGCATAGTCCGTTCTGGATACAACCAAACATGCTCGCCCATTGCGACACTCCTCCCCCCTGAAATTTGAAACCAAAGTTCGTACAAGAACCCGCGAAACCCTACAACATGCTCCATCGCGGCGCCTCCGGCCGCGGCCGCATGCGAGCCAGGGCCGCCTCTGCTTGGGTTTTTGCCTTCTCCTGGCCTGGTTCCGATGCTGCACCCGCCGCTGATGCAACAAGCGGAACGGCGTTTCTTCTCAATCGTCCTATCGGATGGCACTACCCGGCCTAGCCAGGCCTTTTTTAAGGGATTTTCCTGGTCTTGGCTGGGTTCAGAGTTTAGGGTTTAGGGCCTTCCTGGTAAATAAGCCCTAAACCCTAAACCATAAACCTTATAAACCCTAAACCCTATAAACCCTAAACCCTAAACCCTGAGCAGAGAACGCTTCAAACCCGAGCAGAGCTCGGAAGCCAGGACGCCAGGCCTCATCTTCGGGAAGGAGCTCAGGAGCTCCACGCACACATACCTCCTTCGCAAGGGACCGCAGAAACGAATAGAATAATATATATATATGTATGTGTATATATATATATATTTATTTATTTATTTATTTATGCATTCATTCATTCATTTATTTATTTATGCATTCATTTATTTATTTGGTTAGTTAGTTATTTATTTGCTTTCTTATTTATTTATATACTACAATGTAACACTATAAGACACTATAATATAACATAAAATAAAATACAGAAACAGGAAAGAATATCTTAAAAGATAAAAAATATAAGAAAAGAACAGAATAGAATAAGAATAAGAACAGACTGAGAATGAGACTGAGAAGGAGAATAGAATAAAATTAGACTTAGACTAGAACAGAATATAATAGACAAGAATAGAATAGAATGAGAATGAGAATGAGAATGAGAATGAGAATGGAATAGACTAGAATGAGAATGAAAATAGAAAGGACAAACTAGAATTAGCATTAGAACTAAAACAGAATAGAATAATATTGAACAGCATAGAATTAGAAGTAGAAGTAGAATCAAATTAGAGTGGAATAGAATGGAATTAGAACCGAACAGAACAGACTGTCATCCTTAGTGGCCTCTGGCATCACCTAAACGTCTTGGGCAGACGACTTGTCGCATGCCGACCTACAAGTGCAGATGGAAGCCCTGTCCTGCGCAGCTGCAAAGAAGACAGACGGAGGAAGCATTGCAGAGTCACCAACGGCAAGCCTTGGAGGAGTACAGTCTCTCATGTTTAAGGTCTTCAAGAAGGGCTGGCATCGAAAGCAGTTGTGTCTGAGATCATGACCTCTTCGAGTGCACCAGGTTCTCCGTCACCTTGCGCACCTTCTCCCACTCTGTACATGTGACCCAAACAACACCCTAGACCCTACACCCCAATAAACCCTCACCGGCCCTAACCCCTGCCCTAAACCCTAAACCCCAATAGGCCCTGACCCCTAGCGTAACCCCCCAAAAAGAGCGGCCAGAGCAACCCCGTCTTCCGAGGCCCCTCTTGGCCTCATCGCTGAACTCGGATCGCTGGAGCGCCAGCTTGGCCCGCTCTTCCTCTCAGAAAAGCACTTAGGGTTTAGGGCTTTTAGGGTTTAGGGCTTTTAGGGTTTAGGTTTAGGGTTTAGGGTTTAGGGTTTAGGGCTTTTAGGGTTTAGGGTTTACAAACCCTCCTAGTTTGTTAACTACTAAAACGACGGATTTGTATACAGACGGTTCTACATTGTGTTCAAGCGACAGCCCTGAACTGTGCCCAGTAAGCTGTGGCAACAAGCATGTGAAGGCTTGCAAGCCCTCCAAGCCCCCGCATGTCTCGCGCTGCCATGTTTTGAAGCTCTTGCTGCTACTACCTGTGCTATTCCTATTTTTGCGATGAGGTCCTCCAGCTGACTCCGAAGCTTTGCGAGGTCTCCCTGCTCCTTGCTGAGGTCTTCTCGTCCTGAAGCTCTGGGATGCAGGGATTCTGCTCATGCGTCCGACCCGTATCATACTTAGTGGCAGGGTGGCGTAGGACACGGGTGAGGGATCAAAAAAATTTAAAAAAAATATTATGTAGTAAAAATATATGAAAATGAGGCGGAGGGGATCAAAAAAAACATTTAGGGTTTTGGCTTTCCTTTTCGGGTTTAGGGTTTGCTTTTCGAGTTCAAGGGTTGCCTTACCTTTTGGGGTTTAGGGTTTCCCTTTAGGGTTTCTCTTACATTTTACGGTATAGGGTTTCCTTTTATAAGCTTTCCCTCACCTTTTAGGGTTTAGGGTTTCCTCTGAGAGTTTAGGGTTTCTCGTACCTTTTAGGGTTTAGGGCCAACTTTTAGGGTTTAGGGTTGGGGGTTTCTTTTACGGGTTTCGGAAGAGCGGGGGGGCTGCGGGGGGCAGCCCCCCCCATTTGCAAACGCAACGCTCGCAGCATGGGTTTGGAAGGGACCCGTATGTGTTGAACCTGCAGCCCCCCCCCATTTGCAAACACAATG